GGGGGGAGAGGGGGAGAGAGAGAGAAGCGAGAAGTGAGAAAGCAAGCTTCCAGGTCCGGGACTCAATCCATGGTCGGCCCTGTGGGAGTCCAGCGCCCTTCACCACCACGCCACCTGCCAGTCCCCAAATATTCAGATTTTAAAAGAGTAGCTGGAAATGAGTAGTTTTGTGTTAAATCTCCCATTATTTTACAACACTGACAAGTATTTAAAATACTTGGCCAAACAAACTGTCTGAGGTTGAAACACCTTTTCAGACGCCCACTGTTAGATCTGCCTGAATGTGACGTTCCACAGAGCACAGGGACCCTATTGGCTTTGTTTGCCATTTTTAGTACCAGCTTCTAGGGCGTTGCCCGAAATATCTTCAATATTTGCTGAAATCATTGAATGTGGTCTCCTTAAGGTGAAGCTTCGTAATGTATTCATTATAAGCAGTTCAAGATAATTCTACTCATTTAGACTTTGTACTCTTCTTTCTCTCATCTGAGCGGGGCTACCTTCCACCCTAATATTTTAGAACTTGGAATAACCTTTAACTCCAGCTAACCCACTTGTTCACATTGCATTTGGTGTCTGGAAGACGGGCGTTGCCCAAAGTTGCACAGTGCATTAGTGGCAGAGCTAGACAGAAACTTACTCTGTGATCACTAGTTCCACCACCTGTTGTCAAGGCCTTATGAAGAACCTGTCTCAGAGAGGATTCAGGGTATAAGTAAACGCTATGGAATTTGGGGCAAGCTGGCAAAAGAGTGCTAAAAGCAACCAAGTTTTCAAGACTACTAAGATTTATTTGTTTTAGGTTTTCGCTATAGGGCTCATGTGCTTGCTAGAGAGACAGAGAGAAAGAGAGAGGGAAAGGGAGAACTCATTTTTCAGGGAGTGGCCATGCCACAATCCCTTCTCCTCCAGGGACTGATTTTGGGGCCCATGCATACACACACTTGGCATCATTTTCAGGCTGCTGGATCCAGGATTCAAACTACAGTCAGCCATGTGGGAGTCCAGTGCCTTAACCACTATACCACCTGCTGGCCCCAAACCACTATGATTTTTAAGGAATACATTTTGGGAAAAGGATTTCTTTTTAAGGCAAGAATCAGGCGACACATGATTTTTAAAAAAGGTAAGTCATTCTTGTGTAACATTTGGTAGTGTACAAAACACTCTCAGGTTATCGTCATAGTACTGGAGATGCACTACACATTCATTAGGTCTGTCCTATGTTAGTACTTCAAAAAGCTCATGGAAAAATTGATCTAATGTATGAGTTTATTTTGGTGCAAATTTTTTTTTTTGGATATCCATACATAGATTTTTTTTTTTTTGAGTGGTTTTTGCTATAGGGTGCGTGCGCTCGCCAGAAAGACAGAGAGACACAAAGAGATAGGAAGTGAGAAGTCACCCCCAGGGGGGATGGCCACGCTGCAATCCCTTCTCCTCCTTTCTCCTCTCGGGATCTTGGGTACGCACGCACACGCGCCCGGCGTGAGTTTTAAGCCACCAAGTCTGGGACTTGAACCGTGGTCAACTACATGGGAGTCCAGTGACATAGCCATTACACTAACTGCTGGTCCCAATACACAGATTTTTTTAATGAGAATTTTCATAATTTTTTGAAGACTCCGTGTGTTATCTCTGCCCCTGCTCCCCAGGAAGTAACAATATTTATTTTATCACAGAAGACAATGAAACTGTAAGAAAATGGGCTGAGATTTGAACCAAGTCTCTGGAAATCTCTTGAATTTGGTGTCTTGGCGGGTGTAAAAGAAGCTGGGAGTCAAGCATGCTTCATACAAATACTAACTTAACCACTTAAGCTCTCACTGAAAGGCCTTGCATCTGCTTTCCAGTTTCAGGAAAGGAATGACAATCATACCTAGTTATGATGGAGGGGAGTTGAAATGAGATGATGCACTGACTGACGCCCTTCGCATGATGCTGGGAAGCAGAGCCAGCACTCAGAAACTGGCAACCGTTGAGGTTATTTCAAGAAGCAGGCTACATGGTTATTCTCAATACTACTAAGATTCATTGAAAAATATTCTGTTGGTACAGACCCTTTTTTTTTTTTTTTTGAGAGGTTTTTGCGCATGTGCTCGCTAGACAGACAGAGAGAGACATAGAGACAGAAAGCGAGAAATCACCCCCCACAGGGGATGGTCACGCCGCAATCCCTTCTCCTCCCTTCTCCTCTTGGGATCTTGGGCACGCACGCACATGCGCCCGGCGTGAGTTTTAAGCCACCGGGTCCGGGATGCGAACCGCGGTCGACTACGTGGGCGTCCCGCGACATAGCCATTACGCTAACTGCTGGTTCCCCAGACCCATTTTTTAAAAATAAAACTACTTATCAGTCCTGATGTGTTATGTTCATGTAAAGTCTGGGCATACCATAGGTTTTAGAGAAAAATAATGATACTTATTACTGCTTCATAGATAGTCTATCAAATGCTGATGGTTTTAACTTCTAATTTATTCTGTCACCCATACCCCCTTACTAATGATCCTATCTTAGACATGATTCTTGGACAAACTATGAGACTGCCACAAGGAAGTTACTTCGGAGAATAGTTAAGCTAGATCCTATGACAATCTCTGGAGCCCCCCAGTGGAAAGAAGATGAAGTAAAGAGTAAACCTGTAAAGAAATCTTGTCTACACAGATATGGTATACAGAATTTTTTAAAATGTAAAGAGTCCATCACGGCTTACAACAAACTAATGCACACAAATTCACCCATGTCACTCTTGGCTTAAAACCGTGCATAAGCTTCCCTGCATGTAGAATAAAGTGACACTCATTACTCCAGTAGACAAGACCTTATGCTGTCCACTCCCTGCCACTCCACACAACTACATCCAGGGTCATTGTTCCTCTGCTCACTCCACTCCAACCAACCAGCCTTCTTATTTTTGCAGAGCACACCAAGCTTGTCCTCAACTCAGGAACTTTGTGTGGTTCTTCCTGATGGGTGGGACAGTTCTGGGCTCCTCCTCATTCAGCTGGTAGCACACATTTCTGTCGGAGAGAATTTCCCTCAACCCCTTCTCTGAAGGCGCTTCTCCACTTCTTCCTCCATTCTCCACTACACACCCTGATTTCCTCCTCCTTTTTTCTCATTATGAGCTAAAATTATTTTGCTTGCATAGCTTCTTTGCAATGTTTCTTCTCGCATTTTAAAAGTTTACCCTTTCCTTCCTTTTATGATATATGTGTGTATGTGTATCTATATCTATATCTATACCTATACCTATACCTATACCTGTATCTATATATATAGAGAGAGAACAAGCCCTGACCTACCAGTCAACTAGGACTACAGGGGTATCTGCAGGTGCTCCTGACATTTCAGGCCAACCTGGGCTCCACCAATGTGCATAGTGGTGTCCTACCTCTGCACCACAGTTCACCCTGTTTTCCTTCCCTGAATGCAGGTTCCAGGAGGTCAGGACTGGCACCTCTTTTGTTCACCACTGTATATACAGCATGAACCACAGTGTTTGGCACATAGGAAAGTGTGCAAGAAAGTAAATGTTTATCTCATCATTATTTTTATTGAGTAGTCTAGGGGGAAAGAAAAAGAAGGCATAGTACCCCTTAAAGCAGTAAATATTTTCCCTATAAAGAAAGCAGATCTTTTTAGTGCTAGGTTTA